TCTACAGTCAATTAATATTTGACAAAGGGGGCAGCAACATAAAATGGACTAAAAATATCCTCTTCAACAAATGGTGTTGGGAGAACTGGACAGCTACATGCAAAAAAAAAAAGAAAAGAAACTCGAGCACCAACTTACACCATACACCAAAATAAATTCAAGGTGAATAAATGACTTAAATATAAGCCTTGATACCATTAAAGTTCTAGAGGAGAACATTGGCAGTAAAATCTAAGATATTTCACACAGCAACTTTTTTACTGATATATCCTCTAGAGCAAGGGACATAGAGGAAAGAATAAACAAATGGGATCTCATCAAAATAAAAAGCTTCTGCATGGCTAAAGAAAACAGTATTAAAATAAAAAGAGAACCAACTGTATGGGAAAACATATTTGCCAATACCTCAGACAAGGGTTTAATCTCCAAAATATACAAAGAACTTACATAACTCCACTCTAAGACAAGCAACCCAATTAAAAAATGGGAAAAAGACTTGAACAGACACTTCTCCAAGGAGGACATACAGAGGATCCAGAGACACATGAAAAGATGCTCAATATCACTAGCTATCAGAGAGATGCAAATTAAAACCACAATGAGATACCACTTTACACCAGTCAGAATGGCCATCATAAACAAAGCAACAAACAACAAATGTTGGAGAGGTTGTGGGGAAAAGGGGACCCTAGTTCACTGTTGGTGGGATTGCAGACTGGTACAACCACTTTGTAAAACAGTATGTAATTTTCTCAGAAAACTAAAAATGGATCTGTCTTTTGACCCAGCATTTCCACTTCTAGGATTATATCCTAAGAACCCTGAAACACCAAACCAAAAGAACCTATGCACTCCAATGTTCATAGCAGCACAATTTACAATAGCCTAGTGCTGAAAGCAACCTAGGTGCCCAGCAGTAAACGAATGGATCCAAAAACTATGGTACATTTTCACAATGGAATCCTATGCAGCAGAAAGAAAGAAGGAGCTCCTACCCTTTGTAATGGCATGGATAAAACTGGAAAGCATTATACTGAGTGAAATAAGCCAGGCGGTAAAAGACAAACACCATATGATCTCACCTTTAATAGGAAGCTAAACAACAAAACAAACAAGCAAGCAAAATATAACCAAAGACACTAAAATAGAGAAGAGGTAGACAGGGACCAGAGGGAGGAGGGGATGGAATTTCAGGGGAAAAGGGGAAAGATTCACAGGAAGAAGTATAAAAGACACATGGACAAAAACTAATAGAGGTGGAAATGGGAGGGAGGTGGCGAGTGCCAGCGGGTGGGGTGGGTGGTGGGCTGGAATGGGAATAAAAGACTGAAAACTGTACTTGAACAATAATTAAATAAATACATACATACACACATACATATGCACATAAATAAATAAATAAATAAATAAATAAATAAATAAATAAATAAATAAAATTAGGTGTATTAGATGTATTTTATAAAGTGTCACAAATATGTTTAACATCTATATAGCTCCTGCAGCTAAACTGGAGACAGTGTGGCATGATGATAGGAGCTTAGACACTTTCACATACAGGACGGCTTTCACATTCTAGCTATGCCTGTGCTAGTGATGTTGTCTTGGGAAAGAGTGTTATAAATAAAACTAATCTTAACAGATATCAGCACCTTGGTGAAGTGTACACTAGAACTCCAGAACTGCCTTTCCTGTGCTGAATGTGAACTCTCATCCATCACCTGATTGGAGAATATTTGGAGCTTTCTCATGCTGGAGGGGCCTGCCAACCAACAGTTGCTATTTCTAAAGTTTTTCCATCTTAGCGTGTTCATAGCAGTGTTTGTGAAATATTTAAATAGTCTCTTGCCCTTTGTCCTTATTATTTTATTAGAAGAAGAATTTTAAAACATGGAAATGAAAAAAAAGAAGTTGAGGGTCATATTTAATACAATCAAGACAGAGATTGAAATAATTCATCACGAATGCCAAGAAAATACCCTCATTGGATTTGAATGCTGATTATGGGTTTAACCATTTAGGAAAAGAACATTTATGAATGCACATTAGTAACTGGATTTCAAAAGAGAATTTTTTCACATGTTTCTGCTGAGGCACAGAGAAAACAAGATGCTAAGTGAGGTTTAAAGTCATGAAACAGGAATCATGAAATTTACATGATTCTTAATCCCTCTTGCACATCAAGCATATAAAGCTATGGAAGTTGGAAGAGGAAAGGAATGTTTGAGAGAGCCGAGCCTTTTGTGCATTGAGGGCATCCCATAGGTAGAGTGGTGGAGGTGCTTCTCCTTTTAACATATCAATAAAAGCACTTTAAGGAGATGACTTCTAGAGTTAATCTGTACTGTAGTTTGGGGAACATCATGGATTAGTGTCTGATTCTCACCTGGAACTCTAAAAGGCAATAGATGGCTGAGTAAAACACGGAATGGCAGAGTGCAGAACATGTGGTTGCATGGGGCATCTTTTACTCAGACTTTGCCAAAGCAAAAAGAAAGTGTTTTCCTTCAAGAGTAAGGAAGAGAGAGAGAACATGCATGCTGATATAACTTTACCTTACATCTGTCCAGAAGATTTGCCTAGGGAGGATAAAAAATCTTAGTAGAAGGAGCTGGAGAGAAAAGCAGATATCTGGGGTCTGAAAAAGAAACACTGGAAGGAATACAGAAGCAGTTGCAAGAAAGAGAGAGCCCAAGAGATTGGGGATAAGGAAAAGAGGATGATTTGCCCAGATAATCTATACAAGTACTCACATGAAGAAGAGTTGACTCTAAAATCTGTATGTCCAGAGAAAACTACCATGGCTCAGCATTGGCCAGGTCAGAACTCTTCTGCTACCCTTATCTCTTTCTCCTTAATGCCTTCCAACCCTGTGAGTATCTGCAAATGTTGGTAGCAAGATATGGAAGTAAAACTAGATCTACATGGTCAGGGGAATATTAAAGCCCCTGTTGTCCCACTATAAGCAGTTAACTTGGGAAAGTTTCAAACTGGGAGAAAAATCACCTTAAATCACCTTAATCTACATCACTATAAATCACCTTGAGTGTGATTACAACTGCGTGTAAGTGCTGTGAGCCCTTCTGGAGAATATTTAAGTGTGGGGTGACCTTAGGAAGCTCCAACACAATGGAGGAATTTACTAGAATTACCCCAAGTCACTGAAATATAGCTATAGCATTATTTGGTAGGGGGAGAACAGGCAATGACAAAGCCCTGGTATGTGTGTGCCTATGGAGTCACCCATAGTATGAGACAGATGCTGAGCTGTCGTCTGCGGTCAGAGGTGAAAGTTACCATGGAATATCAAAATGATGTATACACCCCACCCCCACCAGGAAATTCAGCTCTCTGGATCCCAGGCTGCCTTGGGCCATTCAAGATAAAGTGAGAAAAATAGCTATAAAGCAAGTTATGCCTTTGTTTGTTTGTCTGTCTGTCTCCATTCTCTGGGAAGGGGAGGTAAGGGTCTGAACACAAAAATTAGCTTGAAGTAGATGTCTCCTCCAAGTAGGAAAGGGAAAAGGGCTAAGTCTGTTCCCAGAGCTGGAACAAGGCTTTAGATAAATTACAAGTGGAAAGAAAGGCAAAAACCAGTCTAGTCATTTCCTCAGCCTTATTTGGACTCAGAACACAGGTGCCTGGCCCTACAGTGTCCCAGCTTTGCTGCTACTGTGAAGAGCTCCTGGTATTTTTGGTCTACTGACTCCACAATTATCTGTACCTGATTCCACGCTAAAACCTGTTCCTGCCCACTATGGGTTGTTGCAGTGTCAGCAGGTGTGGGGCTGCGCTGACCTGAAAGTAGGCAGAGGCTCAGTGAACAGGACTCAAGACTCTGGGACTGCTGATAATTTATGATACCCTTTTGCCAGGTCCTAGTTCAGAAATCATGTTGATGCTAGATGGCTTAGTCGAATCACTTGCATATGCTCTAGGATAAGAGCTTGTTCTTGAAGAGGACTGCATGAAAGGGAGCTGTGGATGGGCACTAGAGTTCTGATGCAGAGGCTGATTGCCATCCTAACTCATGATTCCTATTAAAAGCTCCCCCTCTGCCCACCTCTGACTGATCAGGCTCCAGAATCCCTATGGGATAGAGTGATGTCTCACTGCTGTTGACAGATTAGCTGCAGTTTGAAGCAATGGATTGACAGCCCGACTCCAATTCCCTCACCTTTCTCATGATGCACACAACTTAGCAGGGCAGCTGGATCACTCAAAGCAGCTGTCTCCAGGAAGGGATTAAGTGTTTCAAGGCTGCTCGCTGCGTAAATGATCCGGACAAGAGGCACAGGGGATGAGGGATTGTGCAAACCCACTTTTTCAAAACTATGGAAAGAAAGAAAGAAATGATTAAGAAAATGGGGTTTATACTGAATACCTACTTTCTTTATGCGTGTTTGAAATTTTGGTACATGCTACGTTGAGGGTGCCTATATGACTAGCTCTCAATAAAAACGCTAAACTCTGAATCTTGAAAGGCTTCTCTAGGCAGGAATATGTCACACATGTTACTGAATTTCTATTGTTCAGAAGGGTGCACTCTGAGTGATTCCTCATAGGACAGGGAGAGCAGAATGAAGCCTGCATATGTATTCATCTAGACCCTGCCTTAGAACCCAGCCATATATCCTTACACATCTTTGTAATAAGTCTTAGCCCTGAACACAACTATATGCTGAGTTCCATGAAACCTTCTAGCACATTTCTGAGTGTAATGGTGATCTTGAGGTCCCCTAACACAGTAACCAATGAAAATCTCAGATATTTTCTTATCACATTGTACATGTAGTAGGTTATTCTGAAATTTCAATTATATTAATTACCACTTTGACATTAAGGTAGTTGATAGATCTGCCACCAGACGGTTTATTTAATGTGTCGACAAAGAAGCACATATAATATATATGCCACATTTGAGAACATTTTTAAAATTTAACTTTTTAAAAATATTTTATTTTTTATTTTTAAAGAAAGGGGAAGGGAAGAAGAAAGAGAGGGAGAACAACATTAGTGTGTGAGAGAAACACTGATTGGTTGCCTCTCACACGACCTGGCCTGCAACCCAGGTATGTGCCCTGATGGGGAATCGAACCTGCAACCCCCTTGTTCACAGGCCAGAACTCAATACATTGAGCCACACCAGCTGGGGCTAAAATTTCACACTTTTAATACACTTTGACATATTACCTTTGCAATTGTAACTATTTTATTTGCTGTGTTATTCTAACAGCCTGATTCTAAGATGTCCATAGGATTCACCAGACAGCCGAAGGGATCTACACAAAAGGAAGTTGAAGACTCCTTGCAGTGGGTCTAGATGTATGAATCACTAATGGTCAATTTATTACCTATAAATGAATAAACATTTAGTGTCCTAAATTTTATCCAGAGAGAGCTAGTTCTACAGATGACATTTAAAGAGGCAGCAGGAGCCAACAACAAAGTCACTTGATAAGTACCTCTATAATATATCTAAAAGGTAAGGTATAATTGGGGATTTATAATGATGTTGAGCCTGTGGAACTATAAAATGTAAGTTTCTTGTTGACCTTTATTTACTGTGTGAGAAAAATCCCAAACTAAAACTCTGAAAAACTCCTACTTCACTCTCAGATGTCTCTATGATTGCAGACTGCCACTTGACTCTGCTTGGTACAAAGACTTCCATACAGATGTTGGAAGTGGAAATGAAGGCAGAGACACGTTGACCCTCACTGGCCCTGACATGTCATAATGTTAAATGCTATAATGCCATCTACAATGGTAACTTAATTTTTGTTTATGTTGACTAGGTTTTAAAATCTTTTTTGAAGTCTTAAAACCTGATGAAACCTTTTGCAATCAAGTTAATGGTTAATACCTTAACATTTATTAAAACAATGTTACAAATTTGATTTTAGCAGGTTCACTGGGGAGTTATTAAACTTGTGAAAATAGATTAATGTCATACCCTGTTCATTCTTTAAAGATGTACAGAGATATGTTACCTGTTGCAAATGTTTTCCTTCACAGTGAACTACTATGAAACGGGATTTTCTGTCTTTAACTAAAGTTTTTCTTTAACTGAATACAAAAATACTATGCATGTAAAAATACTAAGAAAGTTTATTTTAGGCTATTTACACTCTTCTACACACAGTTCCTTATCATTTCTTCATGGCAAACTGCACTTCTGTGGCCCACAGATGCCTTTATAAATTCGTGCAAAGCATCTCCAGCATCATGTCATCCATGCTGACTGCGCCGATGATGGGCCTGAAGAACAGTTCAGCAATGGCAGTGGCACTGATGAATCGAAGCTCAAGAAGGACACTATTCAGTTCAGCAACTCTGGCATGGAACCCTCTGTGCATCATTCTGGTGTGTTCGCCGAGGATCTGCTGAGTTCCCCACTGAAGTCCCTGAACATACTTCACACACTGCAGACCTGGTAGATCTGGAGGAGAAAACAAGAGAAAAATCTCTTTGTTACTGACAGCTCACTCACAGAGTCCTTTGCTAGCTTTTTTATTTATATAAAAGTTTTTTTCTTTTATTGATTCTAGAAAGAGGGGAAGGGAGTAAGAAAGAGAGGGAGAGAAACATCCATCAGTTGCCTCTTGTATCCCCCCCCCCACAACTGGGACTGAACCTGCAACCCAGGCATGTGCCCTGACTGGGAATCGAACCAATGACCTTTTGGTTTGCAGGATGATGCCCAAGCAACTGAACCACACAAGTCAGGGCGTTTGCTAGCTTTTAAATATACCCATTCATGCCCCTTCCTAAATTAAACAAGAGCTCAAGCTTCCTGGTGAAAGGGGCTTTCTAGAGCAAGGATAAATGCTAAATCAGGTCTACATTTTCAGAAGCAATGCTTTCAAGAATGAAATATTATATAATTATTCTTATTTATTATCCACCATGTTTGTATCTTCACACTTAAAAACTGATGGCCCTGAGCCAATAAATGCACACTTAATTCAATGTGACTGGAGAATGTAGTTTAATGAATCATTGCTCCAGTTCACTATCTGTGTAAATCTGAAGAAAGTAAAATTAGATTTCCGCGAAGATGGAGGCATAGGTGGATGTGCCGTGCCTTCTCACACAACCAAGATTAGAGAAAACTAAATATTAGCAACAGAAAACACAGCCAGAACACGGAAAATTGAACTTTTCGGAAGTCCGTTAACAACAAATTCTTCAGCCTGACCGGTAAGGGGTGAAACCAGCGGCTGGCGGAGCAGGTTGCACAGGAGGACTCGGCTAGACGGACTCAGGCCCGCGGAATCTAGGCGCAGGGTCGGACCTAGTGAACGACCGAGCGAGCAACCAGGCGAACGACCGCAGGGGAGACAGCGGGGCAGCGGGGCTGCGTGTTGACTGAGGTCGCACATTTGTGCGCGGGTGGACAGGCGAGGGAGTGGGTGGTTGGACTGGGCCGGCAGGTTCCCATGGCAAGCGGCAGTGGAGGGCGCCGCCATTTCCCTGCTCTGACCCCAGCTCCACATACAGCATCATAACCCAGCGGCTCTGAGTGGCCCGGCCCAGGTGAACCACCTAAGGCACTGCTCCTCCACACCCAGCTGTGAGAAGCGGCAGAGGGGGTCGCCATTTCCTCGCTCTGGCCACGCCCCCACATACAGCGTCACAACCCAGCGACCTGGGAATCCAAGGCGCCGGCTTCTCACACTTAAAGGGCCCAAACAGACCAAGAATGGCGCAGGAGGATCTCAGAGCCCCAGAGCCAATAGATCTAAGCGATGAAGAAATAGCAAAACTCTCAGACGCACAGTTCAAAACACTGGTCATCAGCATCCTCACAGAACTGGTTGATTATACCCACAAATTAGACAAATATATGAAGGCGAAACTAATTGAAATGAATGGAATTGCACAGGACACCAATAGCAATGAAAAGGAAACTGGGACTCAAATCAATGGAGTGGACCAGAAGAAAGCAAATAATGGCCAAACAGAAAAGAGTCAAGAAGCAAGAATTCAAAGAAATGAGGAGAGTCTTAGGAACTTCCAGGACATCTTTAAACGCTCCAACATCCGAATTATAGGGGTACCAGAAGGGGGAAAGGCACAGCCACCAGTGGAAAACTTATTTGAACAAATAATAAAGGAGAATTTCCCTAATCTGGCAAAGGAAATACACTTCCAGGAAATCCAGGAAGCTCAGAGAATACCAAAGAAGTTGGACCCAAGAAGGAACACACCAAGGCACATCATAATTACATTAGCCAAAATTAAAATGAAGGAGAGAATCCTAGAAGCAGCAAGAGCTAAGGGGACAGTCACCTACAAAGGAGTCCCCATCAGACTGTCAGTGGATTTCTCAAAAGAGACCTTACAGGCAAGAAGGGGCTGGAAAGAGGTATTCCAAGTCATGAAATCCAAAGACCTACAACCAAGATTGCTCTATCCAGCAAAACTTTCATTTAGAATGGAAGGACGGATAAGGTGCTTCTCAGATAAGATCAAATTCAAGGAGTTCATCATCACCAAGCCCTTATTATATGAAATGTTAAAGGGACTTATCTAAGAAAAAGAAGTTAAAGAAACAGGAACAGTGAAGGGACAACAAACTCACAGTTATTAACAACCACACCTAAAACAAAAGCAAACTAAAAGGACAGAGAGATCAGGAGTGGAAACATAGAAATGAAGATCTCAAGGAGGGTTAGCAACAGGGGAGTGGGAGGAGGAGAAGGGGGGAGAAGGTACAGAAAATAAGTAGCATAGACAGTAGATAGAAAATAGATGGGGGGCAAGAATAGCATGGGAAATATAGAATCTAAAGGACTTGAGACCCATGGTCATAAACTAAAGGGGGGTAATGGTGGGGATGAGGGGTAGGGTGGAGGGGAATAAAGGGGGAATAGAACAACTGTAACAGCATAATCAATAAAAAAAATTAAAAAAAAAGAAAGTAAAATTATTTCAAGATGAGCACTTTACCATTTACCTGTGGGAAGCAGGCCATTGTACAATGACAAGAAGTTCTACCAGTTACAAATATTTTACCATCCTCCCTTAAGTTTCCACCATTATAATAATTATCCAGCCAATGGTGGTAAACTTCAGACACGAACTGTGGCTCACCATCTTGTTTCATGTAAGTATTTGCCTGCAGACTGATTTTAGTCTTGAGTCCCATAATAATTTAAGAGATAACACCAGCCACTTAGCTCATTTGCCATGATTTCTGTATTGGGGAAGATGGAGAAAAAAGAGTGATTCTAATGAGTGCACCAAAAGGCTCTTAAAAATTACTTTAAAATGAGAGGTCTTTGAAAACACTGCTTTACAGCCATTAAAAGGTTAAAATGTCAACATGAAAACATCATGGATTGCAACATGGTTCCAAAGTAACTTTTCAAATAGAGAACACATGACCCTCTTCCAGTGTGAAACCCAGATAAAACTGAGTGAAATACAATGAGGAAAGATGAAGTGCCTGTAGATTTAAGAAGGTGGTAAGAGGAGGCTGCTTTTTAAAGTCCTTTGATCCTCCATGATATTACTGTAAAGTTCTTCAACTTGTATTTAATTAATCACCAATTTATCATTCTGTTTAAGTGATGTCAGTGATAATTGCAATCATTTCCCTTCTCTTTTTCTACAAAATGCAACCGAGATGTATTTTAAAAGAACCATGCTAATCCTCACAGAGTAGCAGAACCAATGTCCTTTAAAAAATAATAATGGCAATAAATGAGTCATTCCTATTATAGGCTAATACCAAATTTTATAAATAAATTGAAAGCAAAAAAAGCAGCATCTCTAATCCATATTCCAATTCTGATTACCCCAGTCCACACATTAACATCCCCTACTACCTACAGATTATTATAAAGGCTTGGGACACAAGTTTATTGAGTCTGAATTTTACTGATGATGGTAAGAAGAGGTTTGCATGAAACTCCACAGCAACATAAAGCTCCTCTAGGTCAGATGGCTCATCTGAAACTTTGGCTCATTAAAACTTTGTCATGTGAATTCTACATTACTTTTGTCTGCTTTCATACCACACCTCCCCTTTTTCCATCTCACCACCGCTCTAAAATGGCTTTTTCCCCCAAAGAAGGCCTGCCTTCAAAGTAAATTCAGGGAAGAAAGAAAGGTAGGTAGATGGACTCCACAGTAAAAAAAAAAAAAAGTTAAACATAAAGATCAAGGGATCCAAAAGGATAAATAGCAAAGTAGCAAAGTACACACACTTAACAGGCTTCACTTTTCCTCCCAATACAGGTGCATTTGTGTTTTAAATACACTCAGCTGATTGGGAGGATTCTGAAAAGCAGAGCAAGAATAAGGGAGATTGGGTGTGTGTGTGTGTGTGTGTGTGTGTGTGTGTGTGTGTGTGTAAAGTGTGCAAAACAAAAAAATGAGGTGAAGGAAAAGAGGGAAACTAGTGAAATGTAAACTTCTTAAAACTGGCCCTAGTCTTATCTTTGTATCGCAACAGAACAAGGCACATGATAGATGTTTAATAACACAAGCTGAAGGAAAGAGTAAATTATTTCACAATGATCTTAAGAACCACCTGGGGCACTTGAATGCAGGTTTGCAGACCCTGGACCAGAGCTACTTAATCAAAATCTGTAGGGGCGGGGCCTAAAGAGACTTTAAACAAGCCTCCCCCCACCCAGCCCAAATGTTTCTAATGCACATGCAAGTTTGGAAGACAATGATGTAATCAAAATGTTACCTACAATGATTACTGGGATGAGCTGGCGTTTCTAGGTCCTCAAATATATTTGACTTGTAAATGAATTCTTTTCCCACTACACACTGCTCTATACCCCTTCAAAGATGCTAGGCAGGAGGTAAGGACATAACCTGAGACTCCTGGTGTCAGGAAAACAATGTTATGAAAACTATCCCAATGCAAGCTGCCTGGAAACTTCCTGCCCACTGTGGCCCTTTTGGAAGGACTCTGATTGAAGATGACTTTAGTAGTAGGACATACTTGAAACTAGGTTCTAGGCTGTCCAGGGAGATGTTCTCCCATGATTTGGTTGCACTGTGTGAAGGACAGTGTCTAGTGCCCAAAAGACATTGGGCCCAGGAGAGAGGAGGCCCATGCTCCACAATTCACTGGCCATTTATTTTTGCAGTAAGGTCCCTTGGGATTAGGCTACCTAATCTGCGAATGGGACAAAGGACAAAGGAACTTGATTAGGAGGTCTCTAAGGTCTTTTCAACCTCTGATATACAGTGCTCCTTCTCACAGTCCCTAGTGTGTCATTTCCCTGCCCCATTGCTAGCGCAATATTCACAGACACTTGAAGGATGACACAGTACAGCTGCTTAGGACCAAAAAATGACCATTCAGAGAAATACCCATGAAACACTAAGTCATGTCCTGCCTGACAGTGTCCCCAGAGGATGGTCTCCCTATGGGTCCTTCATAAATGTCTCATTTCTTGCCATCCTTAATAGAGTCCCTCCAACAGAAAGGTTCTAGTAAGTTTCAGAACTGAGTTTCAGAAAGAGAAGTTGCAAACTTTGCAGGAAACACAACCTTTTTTTTACAGCTATGCTACTGGATTTAAAAGACTAGATGAGGCAGAATACCCATGTCCCTCAAAGGCACAGACTTTTGTGTAGTAACAAAAGTTATAGAGAGATAAGTACAAACCTCAACAAAGTATGCCCCCTCTCTGGAATGAGTTACCCGCAGCAGCCCACCCGCAAGAAGTGGTTTCTGGAGCTCTCCCAACTGTGCTGAGTTAGTAGCCATTCTTCACTTTTGCCCAGACACATCCCTGACCACTGAACACTCTTCAGTGCCTGAGTCCTAGTAGGCACTGAGGAACCCCCTAATGAGCAGAGAAAACCCAGAGCCAGAGGCAGGTGCCCTTACCTGGGGTAAACAGCACGATCCCCTTGAGGTAGGCATACTCCTTGGAACTGATGCCCAGTCTCCAGCACTTGGTAAGGAAGCTCTTAATAGCTTGGACTTCGGTGGCTGACGGCAAACGCCTGGCTTCTGATGGTGGCACCAAGTGTTGCTGCAGGGTAGGGAGACTTGGCGGCTCTTCGTCGGCGGTCTCCTGCCGCCTGGCGGTGAGGATACTCTGCAGTGGATTGGGCTCGGATGTCTCCATGGTCTCGAAGTTCACGCAATCCTGGGCCAGCTCTAGCATGAGTAGTGGCGCCCAACCGCTGCGCACCAGCACCAGCTGCTGGTCCAGGGGCAGAACCTGGAAACAGGGTAAGTACTTGACAAAGCGCATGGTCTTCAACAGGCTCGCTGAAGCTGCCTCGCAGGTCACTTGTGGACTCTTGAGGGTCACCGGCCGCTGCGCGCCACTCGATGGGTTCCACGAGGGGGCCCCCGGCAGCACTCCCGGCTGAGCCGCGTGCGTTTGTTTTGAGCTTGTGAGCATGTTGTTGAGGATGTTACTGCCCTTCCGTGGGTGGTTTTCACCGCAAAAGCAGCAGCGGTATATGAGCGCCATGGCCCGCCTGCCCGGCAGTTCCTCTCTGCCCACCGGCGGCTCCGAGCCGCAGGAGCAGCCCCAGCACTTCCCCGCTAGCCGTGCCTTGGGTGCCTCCGAAGCTTCTTGCGTTTGTTTTGCGCTCGTGAGCATGTGGTAGAGAATGCTGCCTTGCCGTGGGTGGTCTTCACCGCACAAACAGCAGCGGTACAGGACCGCCACTGGCCGCCTATTTGGCAGCCCTTCTCTGCCCAACGGGGGCTCCACTCCACAAGAGCAGCCCAGGCATGCGCCCCTCAGCCGCACCTTGGGCTCCGCTGCTTCTGATGCTTCGGGCTTTTGCTTAGCGCTCATGAGCATGTTGTAGAGGATGCTGCCCGGCCACTGATTATCCTCACCCGCCATGACCGCGGTGCCCGCAACCCGGCTCTGTCCAGTGGCGGGCGCCTGGGATTTATTTATACTGAGCGCGCACGCACGCGCGTCAACTGTCTCCGCCTGGGCAAAGGCGTGGAGGGGGGCGCGGCGCTGCACACTAGAATGTTTGGTGGTGACTTCGGAGGTTCAAACGGGGCAGATGCGCCTTATAAGGCTGGAAGTGGAAGAGAAACGGAGGCATGAGAACTCCTGGACACTTCCCTTTTTCCTTTCATTACAACCTTCCCTGCTTCTGGAAGACCAGAGCAGAGAGCAAGGAACAGGTATTTGGGGCACTGTTCCAACTCTCTCCATTGATTCCTCATATTGGGAGGGTAGGGGTGCCTAAGAAGGGAAAAATTTCTATGCCATCTTTACAAACTTTCATTGAGTGGTCAAACTTTATATGACTTGTATTTGTATATGGACAGGAAAGTCTCATTTTTAGGGAACTTGAAAAATACAGACCATGGGAACTTGGTAGAAATGGCCAACCTCAGGCCCCAACCAGACCTTTTGACTCTGAATCTGCATTTTAACGAGGTTCCCAGGATATTTGCATGCACCTTCAATTGAGGAAAGCACTGGTCTAATGATGCAGTCATAAACATTTTTTATTAATTCAATTAATGCTTATGAGCACCCACTCTGTCTTAGGTGCTGTGTTAGAGAGCTGGGGGCAACACTCGGGATGTCAAAGTGGCTAATATTTCAGGATATAATAATCAGAAGGGGCTAAAGTTTCAGTGAAAACTTTGAATTCTTCTAGATGTATCATATTGGGCAGTTGTGTAATTCGAATTTCTTCTCCCACTCTAAGTGAGTAATGAGAAACACGGGTTTCAGGAACTTCGAGTCCTTTGGTCCTCACTTGCCTCCTTCTTTGGGTTCCATACAGGTGTTGAAATTAGTGGATTTCTCCATATTACTGCCTGCCCCTTCTGTAACTAGCTGATTGTTTCAACCCATTAGGTAACATCAAAATCACAACCCTTTAGTCCTCAAATTTCTCATCTTTATTTTTTTCAGATTATTTATTTATTTAGTTTTAAACAGAAGGGAAGGGAGAGAGAGGGAGAGAAACATTAATGTGTGGTTGCCTCTGGCATGCCCCCAGCTGGGTGGGGACCTGCCCTGCAGCACAGGCATATGCCCTGACTGGGAATCTAACTAGTGACCCTTTGGTTTGCAGGCTGGTACTCAATCCACTGAGCCACACCAGCCAGGGCAAATTCTTCATCTTTAAAATGGAATGTTTATTTAGTGACTGAAGATGTGGAGCAGTAAAAGGGACTGCTGTGTACCTCTGGTATAGGATCCTCTTTCTCTTTTTTCAGTTTCTCTTAAAACCTGGAATTCTGAGCACAGGAGGAAAATCTAGGAGACACATATTTTGCATTCAACCCAGAAATTTATTCTGCCTGTAAGAGGCCCTCTAACACAGTGGTTAAATCTCTAGCACTGGTGCCAGATTGCTTCAATTTTAATTTTGGCCCTGACACTTTGTAGCTCCCTGGCCTTGGAAAATATATTCGTTTCCTATTGCTGTTGTAACAAATTACCACAAATCTAGTGACTTAAGCAACAAATTTATTGTGTTCCAGTTCTGGAGGACAGGACTCTGAAATCAGTTTCACTGCACTAAAATCAAGGTGATATTTCTTCCAAAAGCTTTAGGGGATAATCTTTTCCCTTGCCTCTTCCAGCTTCTATAAGCTGCCTGCATTCCTTGGCTCCTAGCCACATCACTCAGACTTTGCTTTTATCTTCTTTCTGACTCTTTTAAGGATTTTTATAATTATGTTTGGTAAACCCAGATAGATAATCTAGAATAATCTCTTCATCTCAAATTTTTTCAATCACATCTGCAAAGTCCCTTTTACCATGTAAGATAACACATTCACAGGTCCTGAGGATTAGGGCATGGACATTTGGGGGGGGGGCATTATTTAGCCTTTCACCGGAAAACTACTGTACCTCAGTTTCCTTATTTGTCAAACATGGACAATAGTCTCTGTGAGGTAATGGTTGTATTGTGTTAATTTATATAATGAATGTTTACTTGGTACAAAACTGTTGGATGTATCAACCATTATACTCCCCTTTTTTTTTAATATTGTGGAATGATTTCAGGTTTAGGATGTGATACTATACATCAGCACTACCATTATTCTATCTCTTTTAAGGAAACCCACCCTCACCCTCCACCCAGAAGCTGTCTCATTCTCTTCTGCATGTCCATATTTCTTGGCCTAGACTCAAAACACTGGATGGGTTACCTGGTCCCCAACAGTAATATATATTGGAAATGGTGTCTCTTGCCCATTTCATCATTTGCCATGTCTATCATTCGAGCTACTATTTTGAGTATGGTTATTGTTGCTTGTACAGTCTTCCTGTTTGACGAAGCCACTAACCACCCTAGGTAGGATTGAAAATCCAGCTAGCCTCAGTCCTACCTTAAGTTACCAGTACTAATTACTTTTAATTATGTTACCCCATGATATTTTCTTCCTAACACTTATCACAATCTGATTTTATTTATTTATTTATTCATTCATTCATTCATTCATTCATTCATTCATTTGATGCTTATTGGTTGTCACCAATAAGTATCACTAGTAAAAAAAGTATAAAAGTCCCTTGAGGCAAGGAATAAGTCATTCTGTATCCCAGCAACTAGAACAATATCTGGTATGCAGTAGATACTCAAAAACATATTTGTTGGCCACCCATATCTTTACATAAAGAGGAGAAGGCTATGGTTTGTACTCTATATACACAGAGAACAAGCATTCCCACACAACTATTGGCTGCAGTAAATCTGAAGGGAGGAGAAGTTAGCAGGCCTCATTGAACTCAGAGCTTTCTGGGAACTTTTTTTTTTTTAAATACTCAGAGTGCTTCAGGCACTGTGGTAAAGAAGCAGGAGAATCTAGTTAACAGTCAGAAGACGTGACTTTGAATTTGGGCTTTTTCACTCTAAAGAAATATATTATATTGAATAACTCATTTAACTTCAGCCTTCACACTTGTGAAATGGGGAAAAATACTATACACCAATATAATTTGTACACCCTAAGCCCTTTCAAAGGTTGTTTTTTTCCTCTCAATATATTTCTTTATTAAATGTTTGCTGACCTCTTAATTACATTGAAAATATAAAGCAACTTCAGTTTACACGCATTCACTTTCTAATGATTTAACATCAAACATTTAACATAATATTAGCCTTTTTAGCTATGAAATTATAAAAACTGCTATATGTACCCTAAACCTCTATAATTCAAGGGTTTTTCTAAATCTCTTTCACATTATTTATAACTGTATTTTTTAAAGTCCTAGTAACTTAAATTCATTTTTGTCACTTTAATCATTCACACCTAGCACTTATTAGATGCCTTTGACATTGACTTTCAGACATTGTCTCAAACTAAAACTTCAGTACAGTGCTGAGAACCATGCACTTGTAATATATTGGTTATAATTTAAACTTCCCAGGAGCAGAGTCTTCTGACTTTTTTTACTTGTGGTTTGTTTATTTGTTTGTTTGTTTATTTGTATGAAGTTGTGAACTTCTATTTGCTACTCTGAAGGGTTTTCTAGGTTCTTTGGATTGACTGTTTCTAAGAAGAGATTGCCTGCTTGTCCTTCACAAGTATTCATCTTTGGAAATGTCAAGAGAAAACTGACTTCATCTTTACACTTCCATTTTTTTGCTCTGAATGAATAGATCATGAGAAATAAAATCATCTAAATACATCAGTAATGCCAACTTACAAGTTGCTACAGTGAAGACGTAACCTTCTAAAGCAGGCACAGGCTTCTTCATTTAATTCATTTCCTGTCATTAGAGCACTGTGACAGCTAGACAAAAAGACACTCATCAACTGCACCTGTCATGTGCCAAGTTTGTCCACAACTACAATTTGGGTATTTACACTGAGTCATTGTTCAATGACCTTGGTCAGTTGGACACCTGTTCTTCAGAGTCCATTATCTGTTCCAACTCAGGGTGGGGGTAAAGCTGCTCTGCCTGCCTGCATGCAACCTTCAACTTCAAAGCAATGCAGTTTTCACTGAAGGATGTAGGCATGAAGTACAGGTGGGGATAAATCCAGGTAAAATTGTAAAACTGAACTTTGCACAGCAAGCTGCTCTTGACCTGGGAAGGCTTTATGATCTGAAACCTGATATGAATTTTCAATCCAGGCTGAAAAGAGCTAGAATGCCTCAGAATTCAGCCTCTTCAGTAAACAAGTGACAGGGAGTAACACTAGAGTTTTCCTGATTTTTCAAGATAAATATTGGGTAAACACTATTGTAGAAGAATAGTGGCTGATAAAATCCAAGAGATAGCCTTCATCCTTTTCCTTTCCAAGACCCAGATGTCTAAAGTTCTTTTCTTGTGGATGAATTAATAGGCTTTAGTTGCCAACTAATGAAACCCCTGAAGACAATCTAGTCATCTTTATTTATTTCCTTTTGAATAAGCAACAAGAAGGCCTTAGGGGTCACGTAGGTGCTGAGCTGGAATAATGACTCTCATAGCCACAGTAATTCACAAATTTTCTAAAATCAGCTTTCCAAATCACTCAAGCAACCGCTCCATTCATCAAACCAATTTGTTTTACTGCATCTATCAATTTTGAATCTATCTCAATGCCACATGTTAATCAAATTGTCTAGTTAATAAATGTAATTGACTGACAGGTTAAAAATGATCGTCCCATTGGTTGACAAGATACTAAAACTGATTTGACTGGTCACTTGGAAAATCACTGCTCCCTTGGTCCACATAACTATGTCCCCTAATGGTGATAGTAATGTTAGTTATAGACTTCCATTGTATCAAAGTCTGGAGTGCTGTAATATCTCCCTCCCAGAAACTTGCTTTCTTTTCCCATCCAACTTCTCTTATAACATATTTCCCACAATCATTATACATAGAGTGCCTTGTATATTGCTTGAAATATCAAAGACACTCAAAAACAAC